AAGAGAGAGAGAGAGAGAAAGAGAAAGAGAGAGAGAGAGAGTAAGAGAAAGAGAGAGAGAAAGAAAGAGAAAGAAAGAGAAGAGAAACAGAGAGAAGACAGAAACAGAGAGAGAGAGAGAGAGAAAGAAAGAAAGAGAAAGAACGAGAAAGAAAGAGAGAGAGAAAGAGAGGGAGAGAAACAGAGAGAGAGAGAGAGAGAAAGAAAGAAAGAGAAAGAACGAGAAAGAAAGAGAGAGAGAAAGAGAGGGAGAGAGAGAGAGAGAGAGAGAGAGAGAGAGCGAGAGAGAGAGAAAGAGATCGTCACTGCTATGCCGTCATCTGTAGTTTCTAGTGGTTTACCTTGGTGCTTTGTTTGTCGGATGCGCGCCGCAGCACAGAATATCGAGAAACGATCGTGTATACAGACCGAGCGATTGAACCGTCGTCTCACACGCGTCGTCGCTACACCACCGCCGAGATAACAACAGTAATAGTTCATGCATTCTCAGAGGTTTCGTGAATTAATGCTGGCGATATGGTCGAAACGTGATTGGATAGTGGCGCGCATGCGCACGACGTCGCCTCCGCGATGTTACGACTGCAACTCGATGTAGGCGGTGTACAACAATAGATATATATATACGTATATATCATTTACCTATACCTATGTTATATATACCTATATTATTTCTATGTGTACAATAGCACTTAGAAGGCGTCCATAGGCAGCAGGCCTGAATAAGCATCGAACCGAAATTAATTAAAAGGCCGTGTCTCTGCCCGTGGCTACGCGTCCGGTTACCGGACGCCCAGCTCCCAGGCTATGCGTCCGGTCATATATTTCTTATATGAACCCCAACTATATTTTTTCAGTAAACCACAGATTCAAGCTCTATATTTCACTCAAAACTTCTGCCAGCTCAATGATGTGCACTTTATACAGAGTAGTCGGATCCCGTTTCAAACACAAAAATGGCCGACCGGTGACCATGGATATACGCCACTTGACGGAATGGCACAATCACACGACAAGCCTAATTTTACTCCTAATGTCTTCTAGACGTCCACGAGGCATCTAACTTGCGTGCATAATGCAAATTAGTGCACTCTAGTGCCAAATTTTACAGAAAAAATATTTAAAAAAGGCCTTTTCCAGAGACGAAACAGTGCAACGGTGAACGATTTGCGGAAGGTTTCTGTTGCATGGCCCCTGTAGCAAGCAAGGAGACAAACAACCCTGTAAACGATGTACCGCTGAACAAACTTAACACTACCTGACAACATTTGCTCAGTCAACATGCGCGAATAGAGAGAGCATCCTCTCGATCAATACCGTTAGAATCTCGGGAATTCATCCGACTTCTTTGATTAGCGTGTGCAGCTCTCCTCTGCCTCAGCCATCCCTACATGACATCACTTTCTGATCCTACTCACGTCAAGCCGTGTGCTCATACGAAAGCAAAAAAGTCGAACACGAGTCATGTTTTTATATGCTTTTTAATTGCATTCGCTTTAGAGAACAACGAACAGGAACGACGGGTCAACATGAAATATTTACATACGGGATATAAAATTACCACTAACGAAGCCGATTTCGTGGCAAGCAAGTAACGTCTGCCCAGCACCCACCGCAGCATCCACAACAGATCCCTGCAGTATCTACCACAGATCCCCGCAGCAACCGCCACAGATCCCTGCAGCTTCCGCCACATATCCTTGCAGCAACCGCCACAGATCCCTGCAGCTTCCGCCACATATTCTTGCAGCAACCGCCACAGATCCCTGCAGCTTCCGCCACAGATCCCTGCAGCATCCACTACAGATCCCCGCAGCTTCCGCCACAGATCCCTGCAGCTTCCGCCACAGATCTCTGCAGCATCTACCACAGATCCCTGCAGCATCCACCACTGATTCTTGCAGCATCCGCCACAGATCCTTGCAGCATCCGCCACAGATCCCTGCAGCTTCCGCCACAGATCCCTGCAGCATCCGCCACAGATCCCTGCAGCATCCACCACAGATCCCTGCAGCATCCGCCACAGATCCCTGCAGCTTTCGCCACAGATCCCTGCAGCTTCCGCCATGGATCCCTGCACATCCGCCACGGATCCCTGCAGCACCCAGTGCTACATCCACTGTAGCATCGGATGCATGTTACCTCTTCACATCACATCAAAACTGGCTTCATCAAAACAAATCCATCAGTGTTTACGTGTCCACACAGCATCAAGTGACCGACCCCTAGCTGCGCCGCGGCCCGAGCACGACAGCATATAGAACCGATTTCGCTCGCAAGACTTCGGAGATTCTGCATCGCAGTTCGAGATTCCCATCGACATTGACAACGTAAGTAACGAGCACGTTTTCGTGAGCTGCACTACTCTCACAGTTGCCAAGGTCAACGTCGTTTCACCAAGTATCCACTGAAGACATTAATCTTCCGCATACCCTGTGACCATGAGTGCCGGAGATTCATAGAAGAGTATCATAAAGATGCCACTAGGGCAGCGTGTATGCATAGTGCTGGCATCACCTGGAAGTTATTTTAGTGCGGGCACTCGAATCTATCTATACGGTATATATACTACAATGTAACTATATATACCATATATGCTACAATGTACACTGAAAATTACTGCTATCGTCTTAGACAGACACTTGGTATAACAGATACCAACAAAATTAGGCGAAAATAACGCAAAGGCGATATCATTATTTCTATAGCTAGGACTCCACAATACTTGGCAATAGAATTTACTGCACGGACCATAGTCACCGAAGGTCGCATCCCTGCCACAACGCGCAGGCATGCATTCAAATACCGATGGTGCCATGATAATAGAAAATTTTACTAACAAGTAATGGGAGGTTACATATTCAAGTACACAGTCTCACAGCTTTACATCTAGGATGCATCACGCGCACATGTAAAAGCTCAGCACCATTATTACAATGACTACATGCACGTTACAGCGGATTCACCTTCCATAATTTAGACGTGTGACTATTTATTTTGAGCTATGCGCTACGACTGCATCTTGCTTGATTTTGTACCACGGCCATCGACCACTACACCAACCTAACAGGCAACGCGAGCGTGTGCGTGCTAAAGCCGACAATAAGCACTGGGTCATCTTCCTTCACAAACCCTCCACTATAAAGCAGACACGAGCTGGACCAATACGTTTCGCGTCTTTATCGTGCAGGTGGTTCGGTTATATTTATGTTAAGCTATTGTTAACCGCTGCTGTTGCATTAAGTCGCGTTGTCATTTTTAAGCAAATCATACACACACTGCGGTAGTCTGCCCTTCATCTGTCTACAATGTCACACTATCCACACACGCATGCACGCACACATGCATTCACGCACGCACGCACCCACAAGAATCGCACTATTTCACCCGACGTGATCACGGTTGTTTACAAGGTCACACCAGACACGTCATACTACCAAGTTACAAAGCATATCACTTACCGAGATTAATTCGTCCTCCCCTTAACATTTAACATTCTTTCTCTGCTTATTTTCTCCCAATCACCTACTGCTTCCATTTTGTCCTCCTCATCCTCCTCCACATCCTCCTCCGCCTCTTCTCCCTGCTCTCCTACATCAAACCTATCCCAAGACAAGATTAATTCATCCACATAAGATCAGCGCAATTATTTTACTCAGTATCTGAGCAAACACTTATACCCCCGTCACACCGGACGGCGACCATCCGCGACCATCCGCGACCATCCGCGACCGTACGGCGACCAGAAAATGTACAAGGTCGCCGACAAACGCGAACCCACCGCGTTCTTACCGCGTTCCAGGTCAGATCGCCGAACCTTGGCGGATATCTTCTGCAATGATGATGAACACGACATACACGCGATGAAGACGACAGACACACTGACGCCATGAAGTCGCCGTTGCAAATGTTACCATTTTCGCAGCGTCTTTGCTACGCGTGTACTGCGCGTGTACGGCGTTTATGGAGATGTTACGGCGCTTGTACGGCGTTTATGGAGATGTTACGGCGCTTGTCTCACGACCTTCGTGACCCCACCGCGTTCTTACCGCGTTCCAGGTCAGATCGCCGAACCTTGGCGTTTGTTTTGAACATGCTCAAAACAAACGCCGTGACTCGGCGATCATTGGCGATCATTGGCGACCATGGCGACCACAGCGCGATGTCTGGCGTTTCCACCACGCTTATACCGCGCTTATGGCGACCTTGGCGCGCTCTGTGCCCATTTTCCGTCGCCGTAGAAGCGCAGTAAGGACGCCACCCCGGTGTGACGGGGGTATTAGATTTAGGGCAGGTAGCATATTAGATCACTAGCCCCCCACCCCAACCCGCCGATAGAATACTCTTTATATATATATATAATTTTACATGTAGCACTATTACTTATTTCATACACAATTATCTGGCGCTAGCTGGCACGTGCACAAACCAGTTTTCTACGAACAGACAAGTCACCCCTAGGTTAAGGATGGTTGTTAAGCACGAGACAGCACGCGAGCGTCCCCAGCCGGGCGTGAACTGCAACCAGCGACGTTCGATTTCCCTCCATACGGCGCTGCGTTTCACGCGCGCACAGCGACCCGTGGAATTGTCGCACCCTCCCCCCACCGCACGCACGCACGCATGCACGAACGCACACATACATACAAATAATACATGATATGCACACATAATATAGGCCTACACATGAACATACATACATGTGCAGAGGTAATGCCCAAAGGAACCCCACAGTACACACACTATTTGTGTACAAATGAATAATTTGCACTCCTTTGAAGAATACAGATTGCATGAGAACCTAATATAAAGTGCGCCAGTGGTAGGCCTACTGTGATTTTTTTCAAAATACAAAAAGCAATTTGGATTTCGAAAAAGCCACAGTACCACTGACACACTCATCACTACTACAGAGACCTGGAGGTACCATTTTGACAATAACAAATTTTATTATTTATTTTTTATTTGTGGCCACTGCATTTCTTGACCTAAGCAAAGCTTTTGACAGCCTATATCTCACAAAGCAATGCTTCAAAAACTAAAACAAATAGGATTTGACACATAGGCCTACTCTATAACACTGTTTAAAATGGCAAATAAACTGGCAGAAACCAGACAGTGAAATTTAACAACACCACATCAGAATGTACTCCTGGCTCGGGAGGGGGGGGGGGTCGGTGTACATGACTCTTTTAGAGCAAAACCTTATATTTTCTCATTCTTTGAGAGTTATTGTTAGAGGCGGTCCACGGGGACACTACTGGGAGTGATATATATAGTATATATATACACTATACAATATATATATATAATATATACAGAGTCACTGACGTCATATATCATGGTCAAGTGTACTTTCTTATGTGCAGGGTTGCCAGAAGACCGAAAGGTGCTGCTTGACATTACAGATGCATATGACCACATTTCTGATAGAAAAGCGCTGTTACTTATACCACTACACGCTGT